TTATTTTGGTTAGTTGTGTATGTAAGATTTATGATTTTTATATATATTTATTTTATGTTTGTAATCACACTCATAAATATATGAAATTAAAATAAACTAGGGACCTATAGATAAATTCCAAATACTCCACCATGACTCAATGAATTGTTATTTTATTTGAGTGTTTGTGAGAAAAAGTGTATAAAAAAAAGTGAGGATTATGAGATTTATTTGACTGCCTTGGGCTCGGCATTGCTATGTTTGTTCTCATGAGTAGATGAGAGGTTGTGTATATATGTTGTTGTCTCGTTCTCAAGAGTAGACGAGTGCTTTGTTTTACGAACGTACGTATATGTTAACCGTCAGGGGAGTGTGGGTCAAACTCGGGACGATATTCCTATGCAAGTTTGGCTTCGGAGTGGTGTTAGGTATATAGGAAACACATGGGATATATGTGTAGGCCGGAAATGAAGGGCCGAAGTGGTGGAATTAAGGTACAAAGAATTAAATATAAATTATTGGTATAGTTTGAATTGTTTTGATTTATACATCTTGAAAAATAGTAAACGACCTCAATAAATTACAAAATTTGGGTGGAGGCATGTATATGCAATTCTAGACAACTTTTGTATTTTAACTTTCTATTAAAAAGATCAATTAGAACTTGTAATCAGATGATCTTGGTTACAATAGTTTTCATTCATTTTAACAATGCAGATTTTAAATGCTGTTTTAACCCACCAAACGAGCTCATTTTTATTCTGAACACTTTTCGTGTTTTGAACTTTTCCCAAAAAAGCATCTTAGGACAAATTTTTTTCGTTTTTAGCTTCAGATTTTTTGGTCAAATTCTGTCTAGGTTCTTCTATCAAGTTTTTTTTTTAACCTGTTCAGTTTCTACTAAATTTGTTCACGTTGTCTTTTAGGAAAGTTGATTTTGTACAACTTTTGTTATTTAAGTTTTGGTCAATTCAAATCATTGAAGCATGAAACGGTGCATTTTGTTTTATATTTCTTCAGTAATTTACTTATGATTAAATTATACTAACTTTATTTTGTTTTTGTAGAATGGTGGGTCTTACTAACTTTTTATGTAGGATTGATTCACCATATTTACTTTTATTTTCATTATTTTTTTATATAATCAATTTATATTTAGTTGTGTACGAGTAATAAACTAAATGTTACCGTATCTTGGAAAACTACCCCTTCGTCTTGTTGCGGGTGGAACTACTTATCTTGTCTCGTAACAAGAATTAAATGTACTTTTGTTTATTTTAGGTGAACACATGGGTGTGAAATCTTATACTCATATCAGTGTACTTGCATACTGACCCGTTTTGTCTCTTGGCATCTCGAGTGCATTCTTCTTAAGCGCAGCCGAGCTTCTTTTCCAGGATTAGTTTGGACTACGGTGGTGACGAGAAATAACTACGGTTGTAGAACATGTCTTTCGAACTTCTTTTATTTTTTGGAGTTTAGGGTTGATATTAGTTTATTTATTTATTTATTTTACGACCTTGGTATTTTGATAATTTGGAATTGTGGATTATTTTCTAACTTTATATTATTTAAGTTGTTTTGACTCTTTGTTACTACTTTAATATTGGAGGCATTGGATAGTCATGAATTTATGATAGATGGTTTGGTTGGTGTTTGTTAATTTTTTTTTATCCCTTGTATTTTTTTTTTTTTTGAGCATTGAAATTCATTTAAACTTTATAGAGACGAGAACATTTAGATTTTGTTTCATCTCTAGGATTTGGATGATGGAATATTGATTGGGGTTTGGTCCTAATTTAATATTTAATTGTCCAAATTTTAGGCGTGACGCAAAATTGGTTAAAACACAGAGAAATTTATGAGCAAACTAGAAAAATTTCAAAATTTGGAAAAAATTTGAAAATACAAAGAAAATTAGAGAAATTGAGCGAATCAAATTTCTCTAGTTTGAAATTTCTATGGATTGAAATTTCTCTGCTTTGAAATTTCTTTGTAAAAATTTGAGAGACCCCAACTATTATGAAAATATTTTATGTCTTTTATACTAGAAAATTTTAATATGGGGGATCTTAAAAAAAATTTCCCTATATATTTCATATGAAAAATATTAGGGAAGCCACAGTGACTCAAATCAACAAAACATTACATTTTGAAACTTCAATGTTAAATTTATAAGTGAATAGTTCATAAATAAAAATAAAATAAAATTGTTTTCAATTTTAGTAACACTCTTTTGTTTTTATTCTGTGAAAAATATAGAAAATTGTAGAGACATTTTAAATTTTTTGAACAATTAAAAGACATCGAATTAATGAGATTATAAAAAAGATAATATGCCTTTCTAGAATAAATATTCGGCTACTTGTGAACCTTGAGTTTTTTTTGTAAATATTTTAAAAATAAAAACTATTTAGAGAATTGACCCACTTTTAAAATTATTTGGGAAAGTAACCCAGTTTTGAAATTGCATTTTGAACATGCACTTTCAAATTGAAATTGCAATTTTAATAGACAATTTTAGCTTGAAGTTGCATGTTGAAAATGCAATTTCAAGTCTACATGAACAGATTTGAAGTCTAAGTTAGAAGTCTACATGGACAATGACTTACTGATGTGGCTTGAAATTGCACGTTGAAAATGCAATTTTAACTACAGATTTCAGAATTCAAAATCGCCTCATTCAGATGAAATACTTGCAGTTATTTTAAATCGCATGTTCAATATACAACTTTAATTGAAATCGCATCTTCAACATGCAACTTCAAATGAAATCACATCTTCAATACGCAACTTCAATTGAAATCCATTCACCTTCAATTGAACCCCTATTCTCACTATGCAACAGTCCTGTGGATTTCAAGTACGATTTGAATACACTCACTTGAATTTCACCAGTCTTGTGGGATTTCAAGTATGAAATGAATACACTCACTTAAAATTTCACTTACCATGACTGTTACAATGATTTTAAAGTACGGCGTATGTAGTAATATTTCTTTATTTTTACAAAAAAAATTCTTATAATTTTTTTTTTATCAGTGACAAACTTGAAATCGCATGTTCGAAATGCAACTTCATTTGAAGTTGCATGTTCAACATGCGATTTCATGTGAAGTTGCATTTTAAATATGCGATTTCAAGTGAAGTTGCATGTTCAACATGCAATTTCAAGTGAAGTTGCATCTCCAACATGCTATTTCATTGGTAACACCTACCTCTTGTCAATGTTTCGTGAGGGATTTTCAAAAAATGTAAAAAAAAAAAAAAAAAAAAAATTATACAACACTAAAATCATATTCTCTTCATTGGTAACATGCAAGATTCTTCTTAATGTCTATTCAATCTTTTTTATTTATTTATTATTATTGCTTATTTAACTCCCAAAACAATGGTGAACGCCAAACTCAAACTCTTCAGCTCAACATTTTCCTTCTACGAATACTATATTTCAACATGTTGAAGATGCAATTTCAATTGAAGTTGCATGTTGAACATGCGATTTCAAGTGACTGCAAGTACTTCATCTGAATGAGGCGATTTTGAATTTTGAAATCTGTAGTTGAAATCGTATTTCAAGCCACATCAGCAAGTCATTGTCTATGTAGACTTTAAACTTAGACTTCAAATCTGTCCATGTAGGCTTGAAATTGCATTTTCAACATGCAACTTCAAGTTAAAATTGCATGTTGAAAATGCAATTTTAATTTAAAAGTGCATGTTCAAAATGTGATTTCAAAACTGGGTTATTTTCCCAAACAATTTCTAAAGTGGGTCAATTCTCTAAATAATTTATTTTTTTGGAATATTTAAAAAAAACTCTGTGAACCTTCAGCTACTACTGTATTCAACGTTTGTTCAATTGCTCTTAGTTTTTAAAAAAATAAAAAGATATTTTAAAATTAAAAAAAATTAGTTAAGAAAATGAAAAGAATATAAAACAAGATGAGTATTTTTTATTTGATCATTGATAGAGACCCCCTCCAAGCATCACCCCCACACACGTGGCGGGTGGTGATTGGAGGAGAAGAAAAAAAAAAGTGAAAGAAAAAGTAGTTAATCAAAAAAGAGAGGGGGTCAAAGGGGATGGGGGAAAGGGAGTCTTAAACATTTTTGTTTTTATTTTTAGCATTCTATCTCCAAGTGATTTACATTTTGAATTTTTTTTAAATTTTATTTTATTATATATATATATATATATATATCACTAATCAAAGTTTATAACGCAAAAACTCCTCTTAGAATTAGATCATCTCTAAATTTGTCATTGTGATTTTTATTGGTGTGGTTGCCTTGATTTCGACTTGCCGAAGTTGAAATGTTTTTATGTTTTGAAAAACAAATATCGTTTTTAATTTTGTGTATTTTAATGAGTTAAAGATTTATTTAGTAACATTTTTCATTGATCTTGTTTAATGAATTGTTTTCAAATTTTGTTCAAAAAAATCTAACTCTTTCAATAAGTTAAAATTTTTATTTTTAAGTTTTTGAAAATGGAAATAATTTGAACACAATATACTTTTTAAATTTGAAATTTTGAACAAAAAAAAAGAAAGAAAGAGAAAGAGAAATTGATATCAGAAAATCCAAACAAACCCCAGTTTGGGTGGCATTGGAATCTATAGGCCCATTTTGGCTTTAAAAAAAAAAGAAGAAAAAAGCTACATCGTATTTTTTTTTATCTTCAATGATTTTTTTTAAATATTTATGTCAAAATTTTAATTTTTCAATCTATCTTATTGAGACTAATCTAAAAATAATATATTTTTAAAAAAATTAAAATTATTTTTTACTAAAAACAAAGAGAAGTGAAAATTAAAAATAAAAAAGACCATTCCCAAAATACCCCCAAAACTACAAGGTGTGGTAAGTGAGGAGCTGAAATCACGGGTTTAACACGTGCGAAGGTCCGACCACAGTCCTCGCACGCGTGACCCGGGTTCTCCGGTCAAGCAACAGAAGCCAAGTGTAGAATTAAATTAAAAAAAAAAAGGCGGAAGAGAGAGAGAGAGAGAGAGAGATAGACAGAGACAGAGCAGATATCTGTAGAGTAAAGTTTGGTGTATTCTACCAGATTCATCAGACCCCCCACACACTCACCACCCACCAGCTACCTTAGCTTTTCTCTCTCTAACTCTTTATCTCTTTTCTCTCTCTAGAACGCTCTATCTTTGCTTTATCTTTCTCTCTCACTCCCTAGATTCCACAGAAGCAACTTCCATTGTTGCAATCTTATCAACAATCCATCCACCGCTTCAATGAATCCCTCTGAATCTTCATCACACACTCAGGTAGATCTCTCTCTCTCTCTCTCTCTCTCTCTCTCTCTCTTTATATATATAAACACATTTGTGTATGTGTATGGTTATATCAGTATATCTAAGGTGATAAAAGCTTCATTTTCTCTTTACGTTACATACATTACCCCATGTTTCTAGGGTTTGTATGGCGTTCATCTCTTGTAAGATTTTATTTTTCAAGGTCATAGATTTTATTCTCTCTCTTTAAATTACATACATTACAGCTTATCTTTCGTATGGATTCTTATTTTTAAAGGTCATAGATTTTATTTTCTAGGGCTCTGATTTACTTTGTTCTGCTGAGATTTACGAATAATATTAATATTGGTTGGAGTGTTCATTGAACGATTTCGTTGGAAAATTGATGTAGATTGTTACTGTGTTGCTGCTGTGTAACTTGGGGTATTTTTCTTGTCTGGATTTTGTTTTTCAGGTCTCAAGCATTCAGATCTGAGGCTGTGAACGAAGCTTTTTGGTTTATATGGTGGATGGTTCATGAGATCATTTTACAGTTTTGATGTACTAAAAGATCTAGAGTTTTAACTTTTTTTTGCTTTTTATCTCCTTGCATTTTCAATCTTCAACTTCTCATTCTCTCTCGATCTCTCTATTACGTTATCTAAGCTCTGTTTTGCTAAATTTCCCAAGATTTACGAAACCGGGTTTGTTTCTAGTAGTAACGGCTAAGTAAAACTTTCACTCCGATCCCTCAAGATATATATATATATATATATATATAAATTTTAAAATTTTTTGTTTTTCTGGAAGTTTTGTTTTTTAAACATTTATTTTCCGATAGTTTTTCAGCAACAACTTGGTATCTGTGTTTTGGGTTGGTCTTGTTTAGACCCAGAAAATGCAGAGACCTCCAATGGAAGATTTTTCGCTAAAGGAGACCAAGCCCCACCTTGGTGGTGGGAAGGTCACTGGGGATAAGCTCACGAGCACCTATGACCTCGTGGAGCAGATGCAATATCTCTATGTTCGGGTTGTCAAAGCAAAAGATTTACCTGCAAAAGATGTTACTGGTAGTTGTGACCCTTACGTTGAAATTAAGCTTGGGAACTACAAGGGTACAACTCGGCATTTTGAGAAAAAAACAAATCCCGAATGGAACCAGGTGTTTGCATTCTCCAAGGAACGGATTCAAGCTTCGATGCTTGAGGTTACTGTCAAGGATAAGGATTTTGTGAAGGATGATTTTATAGGTCGGGTGTTGTTTGATCTCAACGAGGTCCCAAAACGGGTTCCACCTGATAGTCCTCTGGCACCTCAATGGTATAGGTTGGAAGATAGGAATGGGAATAAGGCTAAAGGAGAGCTGATGTTGGCTGTTTGGATGGGTACTCAAGCTGATGAAGCATTCCCTGATGCTTGGCATTCGGATGCTGCTACAGTTAGTGGTGCTGATGGTCTTGCAAACATTCGTTCAAAGGTGTATCTCTCGCCTAAGCTATGGTATCTGAGGGTCAATGTGATTGAAGCTCAGGACTTGATGCCAGGTGACAAGAGTAGGTTCCCTGAAGTTTTTGTGAGGGCTATTCTCGGTAATCAGACTTTGAGAACTAGAATTTCCATGAGTAAGACTATCAATCCGATGTGGAATGAGGATTTGATGTTTGTGGCAGCAGAACCATTTGAAGAGCCCTTGATTTTAAGTGTGGAAGACAGAGTTGCGGCCAACAAGGAGGAAGTTCTGGGGAGGTGTGCAATTCCTTTACAGTATGTGGACCGGAGATTGGATCATAAACCCATTAACTCTAAGTGGTATAATCTGGAGAAGCATGTTATCGTTGAAGGGGAGAAGAAGAAGGAAGTCAAGTTTGCGAGCAGGATTCACATGAGGATCTGTTTGGAAGGTGGTTATCATGTTCTGGATGAATCAACCCACTACAGTAGCGATCTCAGACCTACTGCAAAACAACTGTGGAAGTCCAGCATTGGGGTTCTGGAATTGGGGATTCTGAGTGCTCAGGGTTTGTCACCTATGAAGACGAAAGATGGGCGGGCGACAACCGATGCTTATTGTGTGGCCAAATATGGGCAGAAGTGGGTTCGGACAAGGACAATTATTGATAGCTTTACTCCCAAATGGAATGAGCAATACACTTGGGAGGTTTATGATCCGTGTACTGTCATTTCTGTTGGTGTATTTGATAACTGTCACTTGCACGGCGGGGGAGATAAGGCTGGAGGTGCAAGGGATTCAAGGATTGGAAAGGTTAGAATTCGTCTTTCTACCCTTGAAACTGATAGGGTTTACACACATTCATATCCACTTTTGGTTTTACATCCATCTGGAGTGAAGAAGATGGGTGAAATTCATTTGGCTGTGAGGTTTACATGCTCCTCTCTCCTCAATATGATGCATTTGTACTCTCATCCACTGTTGCCAAAAATGCATTATCTTCATCCTTTGACTGTCAATCAGCTTGAAAGCTTGAGGCATCAGGCCACTCAGATTGTATCCATGAGGCTGAGTCGCGCTGAACCACCGTTGAGAAAAGAGGTGGTGGAGTATATGTTGGATGTTGGTTCCCACATGTGGAGCATGAGAAGAAGCAAGGCTAATTTTCTCAGGATTATGGGAGTTTTGGGGGGTTTAATTGCTGTGGGAAAATGGTTTGATCAGATATGCAATTGGAAAAACCCTATTACAACAGTTCTGATTCACATCTTGTTCCTAATACTGGTTTTGTATCCAGAGCTTATTCTGCCCACCATTTTTCTCTACCTTTTCTTGATTGGGGTGTGGTACTACAGATGGAGGCCAAGGCATCCTCCACACATGGACACTCGTCTCTCTTGTGCTGATAACGCACATCCTGATGAACTGGATGAAGAATTTGATACTTTTCCAACTTCCCGTCCTAATGATATTGTGAGGATGAGGTATGATCGTTTGAGAAGTATTGCAGGCAGGATTCAGACAGTGGTTGGTGATTTGGCAACTCAAGGGGAGAGGCTGCAGTCCTTGCTGAGCTGGAGAGATCCAAGAGCTACTGCCCTGTTTGTGATTTTCTGCTTGGTTGCTGCAATAGTTCTCTATGTTACACCATTCCAAGTTGTGGCGCTTATCACTGGATTTTACGTGTTAAGGCACCCAAGGTTCCGTCATAAGCTGCCTTCAGTGCCCCTCAATTTCTTCAGGAGGCTGCCTGCAAGAACTGACTGCATGTTATGAGCAAAGCCACCGCCAGTTTTTTAAGCCTTCTATTCTATTCTCCTTCAATGTTTATTAAGCACCGCCAGTTCAAAACCAGTTGGGGAAGAAGATGCGGAGACTTATGGAGCTTGCTTGCTTTCTTTCACCTAGCAGTGTGGTGAATATTGGGTCCCGGTATGATGTGTTATCTCTCTCTCTCTCTCTCTCTCTCTCTCTCTCTCTCTCTGTGCTTAGTAGATTTTGTGGATTTGCAGTTTATTTATATGCCTTCATAGGGTTCCTTATTCAAAGTTGACTCTGGTACTCCATGTTGATTTGTAATTTTGTAGGTTGTGATCTGGATTTAATCTTGTCCTGGACAAACTAGATGCTTAATTTTACTAGTTTATTTGTCTATTTGATGGGTTGGACTGCAAAATACCAATTTTATGTTTGATAGTCTTTTACTACTACTACTACTAGTACTACAACCGTTAGATGGAATGGTTTGGTTTTCTGATGCTTTTGCAGCTCATGGAAGTATACATGTTGATGTGTTGAATTGATGATCTTTTTGACTTTTATTCTGTGTGGAACCTTTGCCATTCACATGAATACTCTTGCTTGATGCACATGAATACTCTTGCTTGATGCAGAGTAAAGAGTGTGTCTGAACTTTGAAGCAATTCTTTACGACAGATAAACATCCTCTTATTGTTTGGTGACAAACCAACAAATATTCTACTCTAATTTCACGCACTTAGAAAAAATATTAAGAAGTAAATCGGAATGTATTACGTAGATCTAGATCTAAACTTGTGGTGGTGTTGCTTCCGCTCCGAATGAATATGACCTCCACATTTTTTTTGAACATCTTTCAAGAATATAATGTCTGGATTAGCTATAGTTTATTGCTAGTTTGGTATTAACATGGTTGGGTACAGTTTTTTATTAGATTGGCCGTTTGGAATTTAGTGGTTCAATCATAATAATTATTATAATATGTTTACATGGACACACTAGCTTTTGTTTTCTTGTCTTAATGTACATTGGTCTGTTATTTTTTACTTCATACAAGGGTGACAAACAGCAATTATTATGGGCTCATAATTTCTTTTAATTTCAACTTGTTTGGAACCTTGTTGAAGTTAACCATGATTTTGTTTGGAGAAGTGGACAGATGGAGGTGCTATCTTTGTCATTAGAGTCCTATTTGATATTAAAAAAAATTCTAGTTTTAAATTTGTGATGGTGGTTATGCTAATGACAGGGCTGTCATTAAGTGGGTGCAGATAATTAAAAAAATATATATTTTTAATACTTATATATATGTGTGTGTGTATATAATTTATGATTTTATACAATCTTTCTATGTATGTTGAGACTAATGACCATCTATTAGAAGGGTTTCTAACTTGTGATACGTGGTTGGTTCATACAAATTACATGAAAACATGACACAATCTGAATTTCTTGGTTCTAGTTTGAAATTAATGAGCAAAAAAACGTTTAGATGGAACTAAGGCTTTGGCAATATAGTTGGGATTAAATTAATTCATTAAAAGACAAAATAAGTTAAAAAGTCAATAAGGTTAAATATTATGTTCAAATCATAATTATTTTATTTTATTTTATTTTTCATAAAATTATAAAAAAAAAAAAAAAAGTCAACAAGTTCATTCTAATTGTAATTTTTTCAATTAGGTTAAAATAGTTAAAAAAAACGAAGGTTAAATGACTAATTTGGACCATGGAATGCTGCAGATAATCTTAAAATAAAGTGGGAACGTTGTCCGGTAAGTCTGTAAAAAAATGATGTTGCAGTGATCTTTACTTGGCCCCTTTTTTTTGAGAAATAAGTAGTAAAATTTCTATGTAGTGTGTTATGAAAGTGACTAAAGTGCCCTTGTTGGCATAGTTCAACCTATATTTTTGATTCTGCGTACATGGTAAAAGGCCTAGGAAGTTGAAAATGTTTCACTGATCTCTATGCAATGGTAAATTTGTTATGCTATGTTATGTGGTCACTCGATCCAGAGCGTGGTAGCTGGTCCCCTGTTGGCTGGTGTCCCTGTTTTGTGATTCGTGCTTCCCAGCTGTAACCCATACTTTAGAACCGTCAGTGCTATGCTCTATAGTTGATAATTATTAACTTATGTTTTTATACATATTATAATTATCGATAGTGCTACATGTATCAATTGGTATATTAACTTGTTAAACCCACTAAACCTAACCCACTACTACCTACCATACACACTCACCTCCTCACCTAACCTACCACTACCACCTCCACTTCATCCCCTACCACTTCACCTACTACCTTCTTCTCTTCTATATATTTGATCATTGTAAACATAACAAAATATCAATATACACAGCAATCTTGTAATCAATACACATCAATACATATCAATCAATACAATTTATTTTCTCCTTCTCTCTCTATCAATTTATCTTACATGGTATCAGAGCTTTGTTAAGAACCTCGTATTTTCGCTTCCCCGGCGGGCGGCAGCCTCACCTTGGCCGCCCGCCGGCCCTCTCATCTTCCAACTAATACAACTCCTCCTCTCTCTTTTTCTCTCGGTGTGCAGGGGAGGGCGAACAACCCCACAACACACAAGCACCCTTTACCCATATTCCGTGGGTCAGACCCGCGTTTCCATCACACTACACTTGATCAGCTTCAACAGGTGGCTATTACCACACTGTCATCTTCGGTCTGCCATGTGACCCAAACCTCAAGACCACCATGGAAACCGGTCATCCCAATCATCGCCTCGGGAGTCTGGCTCGCCTCCAAGCCCGACAACGAGTGCATCCACTGGATCCGATGGCCACTCGTCTTCCTCGGCATCTCCATCCTTCTAGTCTCCCTCACCGGCTTCGTAGGCTCCTACTGGAACAAAGAATGCCTCCTCACACCAGTCCTCTTCTCGGCCATCACACACGCAGACGGAGAACCACTATTGCTGCGAACCACCGTGGACCACCAAAACTCTCAGTCTCTCTCCTGTGCAGTCCGTGGACCACCGCTGCTGCATCAGCCGGCTCTCTTCCCTACTGCACTCGCGGTTTCAGCCACCACTGCACTGCCACCGCCATGACCACTGCGGCTGACCTGCTTTCACTAGCTCCGCCGCCAGTTCCGACTGTCGCTTATTATCATCTCCGTCCGTAGATACAGCATCTCCGACGCTTGAGCATCACTCCACCTATGATTTAATCCGCCTCCTCCTCCGCCGTCTACGGCGTTCGATATTATGCTCCGGTGCTCCACCCGGTGCCGCTGATCCTCCTCCTCCTCCAATGGAACGCCTCCGACTCGGCCTGCAACTGGGTCGGCGTCGTCTGCGGCTCGAATCCGTCATGACCTCCACTGGCCTCAGACTCGATGCTGTCGACCCCACAGAGTTTGGTGTGTGTTTTTAGTTCTGGAAAAAGTGTGCACAGTAGAGAGGTGTGCATATGAGATGCTTCATCCTCTCTCTCTCTCTCTCGCGCATTGTCTCTCTCTCTCTCTCTCTTCTTTTTTTTTAATTAAGTGTTTTACACACCAACCACATGGGTTGGTTTCACTTTTCCTCATCCATATATTCCCACACTCCTCCACTTTCTTTTTTTTCTGTTTTTTTTTTTTTTCATCCACGAACCTACTCACCTGCACCACCCCCAAGCAACCCCCGTGATCCATTATTTTTATTATTTTTATTCTTATTATATCTATATATATATATATATATTTTTTTTCTTTTTCATCCCCTTATTTATTTCTTTATTTCTTTTTTATTATTATTATTATTTTTTTTTCTCGCTTCTTTTCTTTTACAAAAAAATAAAAAAAAAATAAAAAAAATACTCCACCATGCCGAATGTATTTTTTTTTTCTTTTACTTTCCAGACCACTCACCGACACACACATTGCTGTGCCCATGTATATCTCTTTTCTCTCTCTCTGCCACTTTCAAACCCTCTTTATCCTTTCTCTATATCTATCTTTATCTCTTTATTATACTCTATTCCCAAACACTCATCCCACGCATGTGCATGGCAGACACCACTCCATTTTCTTTCTTTTATTTTATTTATTTCTTTTTTTTTTTTTCATTAAAAAAAAAAAAAAAACCCCATTAAAAAATAAATATTTTAAAAAAAAAGCCAAAAAAAAAAAAAAGCTCTTGGACAAAAGCCCAAGCTCTTCTCCTATAAGACCGTTATCATGCATAGGCTCATGGATAACAACCCAAAATCACGCATAGGCTCCTGGATATCAACCCAAAAAGAGGTCGGTAAGACCCAAAAATGGGCATGCTAGAATTAGGGGTGAGTGCGGATAAGTTGGGATTATGAAATTTCTAATGTGTCATTCGTTTGTTGCCCGTTAGATTGGTACATTGGAGAAAATCAATCCGCATCTGTCTGCCAATTCAGTGGATGTGGATTGAGCAAATTAGCGGATGGATGCGAATCAGTTTGGTGATTTAAAATTTTCTAAATTTTCAATATAATTTAATTTGTATACTTTCTCAAAAAAATAAAATAAAAAGTATTACAGTCAATAAAATAATAAGAAAATGGAAAAAGGGTTGATGTTCACCAACTGAGTTGTATAATAATGAAATATTGATGGAAAAAGAAAGATAGAAAAAATAAAATAAAATAAAGGTAGTGGGAACAGGAATTTGAAAAGGCTCACCAACTGAGTGTTAAAATAATGAAATCTCGAGAGAAAAGGGATGATGGGTTTGAGTGTTTTTTTTTTTTTTTTTTGGAATGATAATTGATTCCATCTAAGTTTGTCTTGTTTCCAAAAGAACATACAACAAGATACAAACAATCAACGCAAGGTTGATTGAGTTGGAAAGATGCCATGAAAGAAATTTATTATGATCAAAGATAGTTAGGATCAGTGTTTTAAAAAGTTCTAGGCTCATTGAGGTGCTAAGATCTTTTAGAACTTAAGCATGAGGTGTAAGACGAGGCGCGCGCCTCACCGAAGCGAGTCACAAGTTGTTGAAGATAACCAAAATATTAATATAAGCAAAATTGTTAACATAAAATAAATATTCTTAGAATTTCAAAAAATAATAAATAAATAAATAGAACAACATTCAATATTCCAAAAAACATGAAAAATAACAACATTTCAAAAATTTCTCAAAAATAATATTCTATCTTACTTTATCCTATACTATTTTTTTTAATCAATTTATTAATGTGATTCATTTCTTCTTCTTTTTTTTTTTAAATAAAGAACTCATACCATAAAATACCTTAGTGGTTTTAATTTTAAATCGGGACCAAATTGACTGATAACTTCAATCATTGGCCCGAAACTGTTGTAATTTACTAGATTAAAAGGAATTCAAAAACCATATATCTATCTTGCAATCCCAAAACTTTTGCTTAATGCCTACAACTTTTTTTGATATGAAAATTGGGGATCAATACA